TCTAGATGTCAATCTGTACATTTATCTCTCTAGGGCTGAAAAAACAGGAATATCTTTAAAATAAGATTCCTATAATCCATGGAAACTTAAAAATTTCTTAGTTTTAACTTTGTTAGGTTATCTGATGCAATACAAATTCTTTTTATTATGTTGTCAGTTTGTAGATAGAATGTGTGTGCATTTCATCAATTAGCTAGAATTTTTCAGAACTTAAAACTTGATCAATGCATTAAAATAAATATATAAATTTAAAAGGAAATTAAACAATTTTAAAATTTGCAAAGCTGATTTTTGTGTATGTTTATATCCAGTCTTTTATATGTTAGTATCTTTAATTATATAGAAAATGATTGGGAAAATATTATATATATATATACATTTTATTGCATTTTAGGTTTGGGGGTACCTGTGAAGAACATGCAGGATTGTTGCACAGGTACATACATGACTGTATAAATCTTATATAAACTTCTACATCATCACTTCAAAAACAGTACAATGAGACCGATAACAACACTGCAAGCCTAAAAAACCCATCTTAATGTTGACCAGGTTTATACCTGGGTTATGTGATTATGGACAATTTTTAAATTTTTTTTAATGTTTCTATGCTGTATTCTTATATCTCCACTTTAACAATTTTAAAGTCTTTACAATTAGCTTCTATTATTTGGGATTCAGAAAATATCTTTTTAAAAACGCAGCATATGTCATGTATTATTTTTCAACTTGCTATTTTCCAATGAAGATAGGCCGACGGTACATGAGTGAGAAATACGTGGGAGGAGATGCCATGTTTCTACCAATTTGATACTGAACCTCTGAGACTGGATGAGGTTGCTTACTTTTGCTGCCATGGAGACCCACTTAGTCACATGCATACAACATGTGAATGTTGGAAGAATGCTGTGAGAAGACTCTTCTACATTCTCTTCACAAAATGCAGGACAAACAATGTTTGAAAAAAAATGTTCGAAGGCAAAATTGAAATCTAGTGAATGTGCTACTAACTACAAGTACCTTCTGCCTTCAAGTGGCAGGTTATCAAAGGCGTCACAGGATCACATAATGCTTTGCAAAGAGACCAACAATAAGGAAAAATGCTGAGCAAGAACTGAAAAAGAAGTTTGAGAAACTACTTCAATTTTAGCTGTAATAGAAGCAATAATGTATACTTGTATTTCTATTACAATTTTTATTGTTATGTAATTAGTGTTGCTTCCAGTCAGCACTATTCAAAGGGAGAAGTGGATTTCTTTCCTATAGACAATGGGTTCTCTTTCTCTGTGTGTGCTGAAATATCTGTAATGTTACTTGATGGGATGTTCTGGTAGGATAAAGGTAATCAGACAGTAATTTGAACAACTTGTTGTTGGGTTTTAGGTTGTTCACGTACCTATGAATTTCCATGCATTCTTACATCTATTTTAAAAATCTACTAAAAGTAATTATTGTCATTTAATAGATGAGAAAAATGGACTTCAGCTAATTATTGGAAGAATTGAAATGCAAACATCAGTTGAAATACTAAAGACGTTTATGTTATATTTCACTAGGAGATTTGGTTGTCCATTTCCAAAATTTCATAGCCTAGATTACTTTTATTAAATGAAATTATTCATATATACAATATAAAACAGACAGAGGAAAAGTGTTTTAATAAACTAGGAAGTAGGGAACCGTGACTTCTTACTGCTCTTTGATTGTCCCCAAATGCATAGCACCATGCATCACTGGCAGCTGCCGCAGAGTGCAGTAAGAAAAATATGCCACTTAGTCACTTCGAAGAGCATTTCCAAACTTCTAATTTTGTAATTTTGCAATTACTCTTCAGATTTAATTTAGAAAATATTTTTCCTCCACCACAATATACTACCTAGATTAGTCTGTTTGGTCTTGTTGTAAAGAGATATGCAAGTATAGCTTTTTATAGCAATTCCCTTAACAAAAGTTTATTTTGCTCATGGTCTCTCATGTTGTACAAGCACTATAGCAGCAGCTTGCAGGAAGCTTGCAAGCACGGTGGAAGGTGGAGTGAAGTAGGCCTGAGAAAGCTAGAGCAAGGGAACAAGTGAGAGTGGAGGAAGGGCTAGGTTCTTTTTAACAACCACAGCACAAGATAACTAATAATGCAATATTCCACCCATAACCTTGAGGAAGGCATCAAGCCACTCAAAACGGATCTGCCCACCTCCTACCCAAATACCTTCCACCAGGCCCCATATCCAATAATAGGGATCAAATTTCAGCATGAAATTTGGGGTGAATAAATGTACAAACAATATCATTAGCATTTAATCTCTATTTCATCACAGCGGTTTTGTGATTATTACATGAGATGATCTTTTAAAACATTTCATAACGGTTGATATCGTTAACATATTTAAGTCAAGTAAAATGCAGATTAAAATTAAGTAAGATAAAGAGGCCATGTAAGAGTGAACTAAACTAAGAAAACACATTTTGAAAGATATTAGCTAATAAATACATGAATAAACAAATATTCTATGGAATTTCACAAGAGAATGAAAGCAATTCAGTCTTAGGTAATCCATGGTACTATGAATAAACAGATTGGAAGTGGCCCATGGGTATATTAGAGATGTCACAGGTAAAACTGGTGGGAAAAGAGCGACAGTAGGCTTTCTATTATAAATATCATATTAAAAAATGTTGATATTACTGTATGTTAATTGAAAATAAATTTAGTCTCCAAATATGAAAATTGTAGAAATCCTCTGAAGATATTACCAATACCTTATAGTCTCAGAAAATGTTCCCTTTAACCTCACCACACTGTGATCGATACAAATTTCACATCTAGGCTCTACCTTTTTTTAGGAAATCAGAGAATCCCTTTTAACCTCAACTCCCATATCTGTAAAATAAATAGTGTCCATCTTATAGGGTTACTACAGAGATAAAATAAAATACCATAAGGAAAAATCATGGCACACAGTTGATTGTCAGCAAAACAGACAAGACTATTGGCCCAAAGGGAACTTCCTGCTCCATTCTTATGGTGGAGCTCATATTCAAGGGCCAATAAAAGATAATTTTCTTTTTCCTCCCTAGCTTATTTTGGCAGAAACCTCACCATGTGAACAAAACAAGAACATGTGTGATGATTGAAATGTGACATTACCATTATCCTCTAATGTACTGTTAAAAACTGGGCTTTTTTAAACAGTAAAGAGAGAAAAGAGAAAAAGAAAAACAAAACAAAACAGGAGTTGTAAATCTAGTCTCTGACAAAATAGACTACAATAGTAACAAAGACTAAAAGAAACAAAAAAGGACATTACATAATGATAAAAGGATCAATGCAACAATAGGAGTCAATGATCATAAATATATATGCACCCAATATAGGGGCACCCAGATACATAAGACAAGTTTTCAATGACTTATAAAGAGACTTGGACTCTCACCCAATAATAGAGGGAGACTTTGACGCCACATTGTTAATATTCTACAGATCAACAAGATAGAAAATTAACAGGGACATTTCTGATGTGAACTCAGACCTGGAACAAGTAAATTCAGTGAATATTTATAGAATTCTTCACCCCAGGTCCACAGAACATACATTTTTTTTAGTATCACATTACACCTATTTTGAAAGTGACCAAATAAATGTAAGCAAATCACTCTTCAGCATTTCACAGATTTAAATGAAATATTGGTTGGCTGCTTGTTATTTTCTTTCCTTTTTCCTTCCTGCCTCCACTGTTAAGCACAATTATCAGCATAAAAGAGATTTTCAATACCTACTTTTAGATTGCACTCCAGCCTGGGCAATAGAGCAAGACTCCTGTTCTCTCTCCCCCTTTTCTCCTTCTCTTTCTTTCTTAAAATAAATAAATAAATAAATAAATAATAAAAATAAAAAAAAAATGGGCTTATCTGCAGTGATATTGTGTCATCTTGAGGCAATATTTGCCTGACCAAGATTAGTTTAGTGAGAAGAATCCATGTGCTGATGAGCTGTGAAGTCACATTTACTCTTTAGGATCCAGGGCTATGAGAAATTTCCCCTTTCCCTGCAATTGTTTTCCCTCCTCATATAAGGGGCCTTTCTTATATCAGTGGCTCAATCACCCTGACGGTTTCCGAAACAAGATGGCAGCTTTTCAACTTCTTGCTAAACTGTAAGAGTCCTAATTGATATTCTTAAATCAGTATGTGGTTTATTGATGTAAAACTCTTTGATAGAGATTGATGATCACTGCTACTTGAAGTGTATTATTGCTTTTATTGGTTAAAATCACTGCTATAGACCTGAGGTATTCAGGTGAGACCCACACCTCTCAAATTTCAATTAGAAAAGGGATAAGAAATTCATCAACAAAATTAGGTATCTAATTAGGTCTCTAAATTAGAATATTTTTCAAATTTAAGTGAAAACTAAGAAAAGCAGAATTTTTCTTTTTCATTCAGAAGCCTTATTTAAAGAGAAAAGTAAATTGTCTTTTTCTATTTTAGGAAAAGAAAATAGAATAAAGGTTTTTGAGTATTTTCCCCCACATGAGGTTATTACCTTGCTACTTTTAGAAAATTTGGAAAATAGCTGTTTGTATATTTGCCCTCTGTTTTAGTCAATAATTTATCTTGAACATTTTTCCCAATAAACATTTTTCTACTATATTCCTTTGAATGGCTACCTGGTAGTTGTACAGAATACTTAGTTTAACCCATTAAGCATTTACATTGTTACAAAATTTTCACTGCAATGCATAGAAAATACCAGTGTAAAGAGCACATTATTACATCTTCATTAGCAAAGGTCATCTCTCCTCATAGTCCCGGATTTCTGGTCTAGGATGATAGCATCAATATTAGGTGATTCTCTATGTGGCATGATTTTGGGTCTGCTACTCCTTTTTCCACAATGGCAATTTTCCACAATGCATTCTTGAATATCACTCTATTAATATTTTATCGTTCTTATTAAAACTCAAATTCCTTGTGAAAGTAGTGCCAAGCTCTTACATACTTACACAAATAATAAGATCTGAGGGGTGATATGGTTGTGGGAAGAGGGCTTGATATAGACTTAATATCACAGTGGCTGGGAGGAGTATAGTAGCCAGAGGCATGTTTTCCCTGTTAGAGAATTTTGTTCAGTCAGTGGAGGGCAGCCTTATGAAGACCAGCCCAAGTAGAGTGAACAGTTCAGAGCCTATAGAATGTCTTTTCATTTTCCTACGCATGAATGTCACATTCCACCTTGGTTCTGGAACTTTGGTTTGTGATCTCATACTCATTTTTTCATGGTGAGGCTGATGTTTTGCTTCTGAACAAACTTAGCAAGAGTTTACAGACAATAATTTTTTAAATTTATATGTTTTAATGATTGCCAAGTGGTATTAGAAAGAAGTCGGCTTCTTATTTTCAGAGAAAAATATAACACAGACATTTAACAAGATTTATCTTTGCATAAAATAATGAAATCTGGTTTTTTGGATTAGGAAATGCGATAACTCAGCCGAGCCCTGGCACAAGAGATGTTCCCCTGTTGAATCCCCTTCTGTTTTAGGCTGAAAAAGTAAAAGAATTGGAAAAGCGTTGACATATTTAATGCATGTAAAGCTGTAAAGATAATATATTTTTAATAAGCCTCTGTCTGCCCTGTCACTTTTTACAATGATTGTGCTATATTGCTTTCATTTCAAGGCAGGAATGAAGTAGAGAACTTATTGTGTTCAATTTATTATACATGCATTTTTTTATTTTGCCAAGCATTTTTTATAGATATTTAATCCAACAAGCATGAAAATAGTTCAGTGAGATAAAAATAGAAGGACAATATAATTGGGCCATTGAATCAGATTCTAAAAATCAAATTCACCTTCAAAATAGTAGTAACTAAGCAGAACTGAGCTTTTAATTCATGAACCTGTCTCCATTAAAAATCTAGATTCATAAACTCTAAATTACATTCGATAGGCAAAGTCCCTGTAAAAAGTTCAAATCCTTATAGTATGCTTGCTTTATCATAGCAAATGATAATTAAAATTCTAAATAATTGAATCTCTTATTACTTATTTTGTATTTTTCATATACGTTGTTAGATTTGGGTAACCTAACATGAAGCAAAAAAGAATAGAAGATTGGGATGTAATGATACAAAAGAATATCAAATCCATTTCGAAAGTGGGATTAGAACTCTAAAACAATAATATCCAGGCTATAGAGAAATTCACAGTTTTTAAACCAAATCATAAATTTAACTCTGATATTTGGAAAGCCAAAGCACAAATGGAAGCAATGAGTTACAGAATTCATAATGTCCAAAGGAAAATCATGAAAGCTTCTCAAGGAAACAGATATTTTCTTGGCATTTAAATATGATGGATTTTTTTTTCTTCTTTTGGTCTTTCTATGGAAGACTGTTAATGAAGCAGTGAATAATATGTTTCTGGCTTTCTGAAGAATTGGAATAAAATGTTTTGTGTGAATCCCCTAACATTCAAAATAAGCTAGAAGAGAGTTTCGTAGTACAAGTCAAGGAGAACCATTTGAGAGACCAACTTGATTTTGCAGAGAATTGCTTCTACAGATTGGTTCAATAACACCCTGAAAATGCAAAAATGCACCTATATCTTCTAACTATGCAAGTGAGCCTTACCTTGGGGAGAAAAATTGCTAAAACTTGATACAAGCCACTACCATATTCATAGTAAAACCCAGAGCTGATACCCATCTCTCAAGTCTCGTTGTTTTTATAACCCATAAATAATTTTGGTTTTGACCCAGGCTTGTTACACACAGATCAGAGAACCTAGGGTAAGTCATGATTTTAGAGAAATAATTCATGTAATACTAATTTTTAAATGATAGAAAGTGCTAAAGAAGTAGTAGCACTTATTGGTCCCTCATATATGACTAGTAATAGTTCCTGACATGAAAAAGAAGTGACTAGAGATAGCAGTTAAATGACTGAGAGGGAGCTATTTTGGTTTGGATATATACTATTTTCAAAAGATATAACTGAGGTTGAACTATACATTTTCACTGGATGAAATTATCAAAGTTAGTGATATTTATAGCATATTATCCCATCCTTGCTTATACCATTCTTTTCTCATATTGGTGTTATTCACTTAATAATTTGGTGCACTGTCTTAGATTTGGCCTTTTGCTTTCTGCATCTTAAATTTCTTAGCACATATTAGGCATTTACTATTGTTAAGAGACTGAGCAACTTAACACCTTGATCTGACTCATGTATTTTCTTATTTTTCTAGAAATTTTCCTTGTATTTGGTGGTGCACCATAAGAAATTGCCTTAGTCCTTCCTAGTCACATGAGGATTTTTATGTGAAATTTAGCCATATGGAACACTAAAAAGAAAATTAGTCTTTCTGCCCTTACAGAATGAGTTCATATTTAGCTTCTGTTCTATAGACAGAAATTCAGTTTTATGAAGCAGTTAAAGGAGAAAGTGCATGGCGTGATTTTTGCAGCACTTAGATGTTGATATATGACTTTTTTTCTTTTCCCAAGGCTAAGCAGAGAAAGCTACAGCAATATGACTTCTTAAATGTGAGTGAAACTCTCATTTGAAACCTTTCCACTACATAACTCCAGTCAATTGCTTTGATGGCTCAAATACACACAGGCTGTAGGTTAAAATAGGAAGAGAGGTCTGAAAACTCTTACAATAATGCTAAAGTTGAGGCAGAAGAGCACATAAGCAGGTTTGTATTTTAGAGTTTTCCTTATGCAACCTTCACACCAGTTAGTCCCATTATGTCTCCATTATAATCAAACCCAAGAGCACTGGGCATCAGAAAAACTGACACTCTTCCTAGTCCATGCTCCTGGAAAGTTTACATCATTGAGCCAGCTAGAGCTTATCTGGGATGTACACTGCCCAATACCTATAGCCCCTTTAAAGAATAAAAGCTCTTTGTCATATTTTTGTCTCGGTGTTTGCAATAAATATACTTAATTCTTCACTACTTAAAATAGAAAAGCTTCTGCTTCTGCTTCTAATAAAAGTCACATAAATACACCAGTCTCTCTCTCTCTCCCTCTCTTTCTCTCTCTCTCTCCATATATATATATATATATATATATATATATATATATATATATCTTATTTTACTTTCTATGTCAAATTGAAATAAAATTATGTACCTACTGTGTTCTATGAGCTGTGTTATATGTTGAAAAAGTTATATAACATTTTACATTTGATCACTTAGTTTCTTTGCATTTTACAAATACAAATCATTACATGTCTTTGTTGTTACAATGGGTGGGACTTCCAGATAATTATCAAGGGATGATAGCTTAGTGTAAAAGTAAACACTTTTATATTCTCACTCTAATAGCTTCTTTTATCCTTACAGGAAGAGAGGTAGATAATTGATGACAGTCATATATCTCTTTGGACATATATCCACCTGAAGTGAGATCACTGCTTAAAAAAGTAGTGCATGCCCATTATGTTTAACTTAATTCTGTTTGAGGTTGTCATTATTCTTAAAGCAGCCCATAGTAATACTCAAATGATAAGTAGAAAGGTATTAAGAAATGGGTTTTCCTTAAGGCATAGAGCCTTAAGTATAACTTCTAACTGTATACCTGTTTATTTTCTTTACTCTACTCTGGTTCCCACATTTGTTCTAAAATATTTTGTAAACAAGAGTGGGGAAATAACCATTTTACAACCTCTTTTTTATATTTTTTAGCCAAATGAACAGTGAAGGATGCTAAGAAAAAAAATAAAGAACTGGTCTCCAGAATGGCCACTGTAAATCAAATAGATGTCATGGGATAATAGAATCTTAATCCAATTTCTTTTCCAATAAATGTCCCACATCCTAGACCCTGGCCCATCCACATTTTAAGAGAGATTAGAAGTATGGAAAGGAGAGTCTTGTGATTAACCTAAGAGTAGGTTGTGTTGATTTGTAGTCAATGAGATTCTAATAGATAATAACAAGCATCATATAAAGAGTGTTTGCTATGTTGAACCATCTTTGAATTCTAGGAATAAAACTCACTTGGTCATACTGTAAGATTATTTTTGTGTGTCATTAAATTCCATTAGCTAGTATTCTTTGGAATATTTTTGTATCTATAGTCACCAGAGATACTGGCTGGCAGTTTTCTTTTATATTTGTCTGGTTTAGGTATCAGAGCAATGGTGATTTCATGATTTGGAGACATTCCCTCCTCTTCAGGTTTTTGGAAGAGTTTGAAAAATATTATTTGCATTTCTTTTTAAATATTGGGGCTAATTCAGCAGTGAAACCATCTGAACTTGGGCTTTCTTTTATTTGGAGGTTTTTTATTTAATCTCTTTATTGTTGGTCTGTTTAGGCTGGCTTTTTCTTCATGGCTGTCTTCATAGGTTGTATGTTTCTAGGAATTTCTTCATTTTTTCTAGATTATCTTATATTTTTTGACATGTCTTTATTCATAATAGTCCCATATGATCCTTTGTATTTCTATGGTTTCAGCTTAGTGTCTCCTCTGTTATTTTTTCTTCTTCTTTTTTGAGTCTTCTGTCTTATTTTCTTACTGTAGTTAATGGCTTTCCAATTTTAGTGATCTTTTCAAAACCAAATTTTAGTTGCATTTGGGTGTGTGTGTGTGTGTGTGTATGTGTGTGTGTGTTCTTTTTATTATCTATTTTGGTTATTTCTACTGTATTTTTACTACTTTTTTCTCTGTTAATTTTCAGTTTAGTTTGTCTTATTTTTCTAGTTACTTGAGGTATAAAGCTAGATTTTTGAGATTTTTTTTTTCCTTTTTAACATAGACATTTATTATTATTCATTTCCCTCTCAGTCAGTACTGCTTTGGCAGCATCTTATTAATTATGGTATGCTGTATTTTAGTTTTGTTTGTCTGAAGGTGTTTTCTAATTTCAATTTTTTAAAAATTTTACTTTAAGTTCTGAGGTACATGCGCAGATACTGAAGAATTGTTACACAGGTATACACAGGACACAGTGTATGTATGCCTCCATCCCCTATCACCTACATTAGGTTTTTCTCCTAATGTTATCCCTCCCCAATGTCCCTGCCTGCTGCTATCCCTTCCCTAGCCCGCCACACTTCAACAGACCCCAGTGTGTAATGGTCCCCTCCCTGGGTCCATGTGTTCTCACTATTCAATACCTGCTTGTGAATGAGAACATGTGGTGT